TATTTTAAAATCATAATATGACATATTCACTTACTTCGCACACCAAAGAATTTGTACCCACAATTCCAATGCATCCGTAATCATCGTGTAAGTTCATTGCATTTATTCCTGATTTAATACACTCTTTTTGTCCTAGAATAGGAAGTCCTAATTTTCGAGGCCTACATGCCGCATTATCAGTCTGATCTTTGAGCTTGATCCATCCTACCAAAGTTCCAACTTGACCAAGATAAGTTGATCCTGGAATTCAGAAAAGATTTAGTTATATAATCTTATATCTTATCCTCCCCATATTTATTAGATATTAATAGATGTATTATATTACGAATCATAAAAAGAAACAAACCTGGATTAGGTAAACATATTGGTGATATTCTCTTCTCGAATTTAGTTGGGCGACTTAAACGAATTAAAGCTAGATCATGAGTATTCGATTCTAGATTGAATTCTGGATGCAAAATTATAAATTCGATGCTAATGTTTACTGATGAGATATCTAAGTTACATCGATCATATTCTCCCAAGGATACTTTTATTTCATGTGCTGTTGCTCTGCCGAGAAAAATATTAATATACAGAATATCTTACAATTACAGTCTTTTTTACTATTACTAACTGTAATAATGCTGAAGATTTCACTCTGAACTAACCCGATAAGTTGACTAGCTGCTGTTAAGATATAACGATCATTTATCAATATCCCACTCACTAGTAATTTGGACTTTATGTGAATATTTGCGAGCCAAGGAAATTCATGCGATTCTGTATATTCACCACCCAATAACCGCGCTACCTTACGATTTGGTCGACCGCATACTACAGATGTATAAAAAATAAATTTTTTATCGAATATAAAAAATTAGATCAAGGAAAGAAAATGTACAAAAAATATTTTAAGAAAATTATTATATATGTGTGTACATATATGTATATATTTATAGAAGCATATATAGTTAAAAAAAAACATATTTTTTAAAAATAAAATACATAATACTTAACATACAAAAATAGTAACACAATTGGGAATCTTACTATCTGTTACATTTTACAGTTAAATTTACAGTTACTATTGTAATACTTATATATTTTCCATATTTTACATAATGTGCATTACTTAATTAATATATAGTTAGCACAGCTCAATCATTTCATTTTGTCAAAGATTAAAAAAAATATGAATTGCATATCATGAAGTTTCCTCATAAATGCGGGCGAATATTAACGTTTTTTGTTAACATAATAAGCTGTTATAAATGATTATTATACAATTCCTGAGAAAGTAGTTATAATCTTAAAATATATATTTGACATGTCTTGTACGATAAAAAAAATAGATAAAAAATAGTTTAGAGATAATAATTAAGTTATATTTATAAATTATAATAAGAATCAGTAAATTTGATAATCTAGAATTTTTCTTCTTTTATTACTATTTAAATAATAGGTATTGCTCATTATATGATATCAATAATAAATTATTTACATATTAAGTATAGAATTGTTTAGATTTAATGCTTTTAAATTTTCTCCTTGCTACTTATATCATGTTATTTAATAGTATTATACATTTGTATCGTAATAATGTTACTTACAGCAACCACCACAGGTTCGGAATCTTCCCAAAAGAAGATCGAAAACACCGCGTTCATGCCTTATTTTAATCTGATTATCAACCTATTCAACGAATACATTTGTAAGCTTTTATATATTTATAATGTTTTTTAGCCGTAATTCAAATAATAATTTTTAATGTCTAAGTGTTTTTTAAATTAAAAATGTAGAAAGAAATGTAATATATAATTTTATGCAAAATAGAAATTAATATATTATTATGATTAAAAAATTTTTTGCATAATATTTCATATCATATACATGTTAAATATACGGAACGCAATATTACGGAAATACATAAGAAATTGTAAAACTAGTCCACTATAATAAAAATTAGCACGACAAAATTGATATGCTGAAGCTTACAGTAGCATCGATGACGCATCCATTGCAATCAATTCTTCCAAAATTCACCAACAAGATACAAATGAGATATCTGATATAGACTTGCAGCTTCATGACTTTTCTGTCGGTAGTCAAGCCGATACTGGTCTCTTAAATGACTGGTTTGTGTTGTATAGCGGGACTATCATCGCCCGCATCCTGAGACACTCTCAAGAATGTAAATTGAATATAACTCATACATTTTACGCTGAAGTTCGTATTTTTTTCTGCCGTTATATTTATTTTATTTTTTATATTTTATTTTATAACCTGGTAGATAACTAACCGGTTTGTTAGTCCCGTTACATATTTCTCGGCATCGCAGTCAATATGTATATCAATGAAATTCGTATGATATCTTTGATGTTTTTGGTATTTAAAAATTTGTGAATACTTTTTTGAACAAAGAATAAATAATGGAAATCTACACATTTATAATAATTTTGATCATTGTTTCATTTTATATACTGTTTTATTAAAGTTATTTATTATTACAAATATATATATACATATATATATATATATATATATATACGCGCACATATTACAGAGAGATATGTGTCCGGTACAGCTACAGTTCGGTTCGACACTTCGCCGGTCGCGC